TGTAAGAGACTGTAAATGTCCTCCTCTTTACTAAGGCCCTCAAAGAGAGGGATGAGGTCCAGAAGCTCGGTGTCCGTCATGTCGTCGAACCAGGACTGCACAGGGACCTGAGGAGAAATTTAAATTAAATTAAAAAAGATAAATAAATCAACAAAGGAAGACAAAAGAAGAAAACCAGACAAAGACAATCGATATGGCTGTGTCTAAGGAGGGGCATTTCTGAGGGGGGTAATGGGGACACAGCCTCCCTGTCTGTACCAGGGTCAACTACAGGTCCAGGACCCTGGTGGCTGTGAGAACTCACTGCATTCTCTGGGTGGAAGATGTAGGAGGCAGGTGAGTTGTCTATGATGATGACTTTGCCGAGCTCTCGGCCCAGTCGGCTGAGGTCTTTGACGTAGTTTCCTCTGTGGAAAACACAGGATTCCCTGAAGAGCCGGGCGCGGAACACCCCCCACTGGTCCAGCAGGTCTGCCACAGGGTCAGCGTACTGGAGGCGGAAAGAAAATTGTTGTGAAGGAGTAAACAAGGTTGAGATTGGGGTTATTACATACCGTATCGTGAATGTTGTGAAGCAGTAAACAAGGTTAAGATTGGGGTTATTACATACCGTATCGTCCAAACTTAAAAAAAAATCCACCTCAATAAAAGCACCAACCTTTGCTAAACTTGCTGTGAAGAGGACACATTCAAAGAGCTCCCCCATCTTCTGGAGGAACTCGTCCACGTGAGGTCTTTTCAGCACGTACACCTGGAACCAACGAACAGGAGTCAAAACAAAAAAGTTAGCATAAATTATCCTCGAAAACTCCAATATCAAAATGCACTAAATATTATACATATATATTACTTCAGAACTTAATTAAGGTTGTGTTGGTTAAATAAAGTTATATTTTTATTGATGTCAATAATCCTACCACACACCAGGTGTCACTAACGAGCTGTATCAAATGCACAGTAATACTGGCTGGGTACTTAAGTAAATATCACTAATAAGATATTTTAGTTGTTAAATCCTCTTTGTTCAGTCAGAACAGCAGGCGTGTGAGTCTTTAAAAGAAAGTCGTCCAATCAGGTGGCAGAACTCCTCAAAATGTGGGAGGAGCTTAAAGCCCATGTGTAGCTGTGTGTTTTGTGGTTAGTTTCTCAACATGGTCTCGTCCCCGTCTCCTTCGTCGTCTGCTGGTCAGTCACTGCAACCAAGTGCAAGTAATCAAGCACAGGCCAGAGTGGATCAGACAGCCTATCCTGGATTACTTGAACCAGGTTACAGCTACAGCACATCCTCCTTAATCTGCTTCAGGAGTTTGGAGCCTCCCGTCTCTCACAGCAACACATTCTCATGCAGAGAAGCATCTCTTGTGCATGTTCCAAAAAAAAACCAAAAAAAAAAAACCTGTGGAATTTCTCAATCCGCCGACACCTTTACATCACGTCTCCTCCTGCATTCTTACGAGCAGAGAGAGGGCTTTAAAGAACGCGAGAAGGAAAGAGAGTCTGAGCTGTGGCTCTTTGATGTTGCTGCCAGATGATAGAGAATTCTAGATGAGATGGGAGGGCGGAAAAAATATTTAATGCCGACTTTTGGAACGTTACCTGATGAACAGTTCCATCAATCTCCACTGGAACAATGAAGTCTGCATTGCTGATGGGCTGTGGGACAGGGGAGAGCAGAGATAGATTCAGAGTTTGTCATTTGTTGCTCATAATAACACAGTCTGACAGTTGGGAGCCACGTGGTCCTGAATGAGAAATAAGGAAAAAAAAAAACAGAGTCAGGTAAAACTCCTCATCTTTGCCTGAGGCAAAGCAGCGAAGCTTCAAGAATAATGTGATTCCCTGTGCTGCAGCAGTCTAAGGCTCAGTGACGGAGAAACCCCACAAGTGTGACTCTGTGGGAAACAAACCCCAGCAGCTGAAGGAGATGACGAGAGGTGAACACTCAGAAATCAGCCAGCACCACCGTTTCCTCCGCTTGACTTTTGTCGGCCCTTTTTCAAAGCGGGAGGTGCAGAAGGTGGAGGGAGACGACGGATGTCAGACGGTTGTGAGTGGAGACGAGGATGAAAGTGTAAACAAACTGTTGACAGATTTGTTTTCCAGGAACACCACTCAGGCAGCATCAACCATCACTACACCTGTCACTACGACGGTTTGGCCTGAACGCCGGATCACCACGAAAAATGAAAAATAATCAATAGCAGCGGTATAGTACTGTTAACTCCTGGAGAGTTTGCATCAGGAGGTTGCAAATCTGGCCCGCCAAGGGGTTTAATTTGGCCCGCTATATTTGTTCAATTTAATTTCATTACATATGAATAAATAATAATACATATTAAATATACTTGTACTTCTTTGTATGAAAACAAAATGGGAAATAAAAGGACTTTTTGTTATTTATAGTAAATTAAGTTAAGATCGTACTGTATTTCCCCAAGGGAACTCGCGAGGGATTAATAAAGTGCTAAATCTATCTATCTGTCTATCTGTCTGTCTGTCTGTCTGTCTGTCTGTCTGTCTACTGGTCTGGCCAACTCTTTGTACTGGATATTTACTGACAGATCCTCTCTGCTACTCACACTCACACTCACTGGAAATGATCCTGGAGCCAGCCCTGGAATTATCTGCTCCATAACATGTGGGATTAAAGCACACAGTATGTGACGTGTTACATAACGTTTCTATTTTGATCTACGTCCATCTGTGGATCTGTGTCTTGTTATTTGTGGTAGATTTTCTGAAGCCACTCCAGCAGAAACTCTTCTCTGGATTGAGCAATGATATTAAACAAAAACAATTTTTTCCCCTCATTTAGGAACAAAATCCCTGAGATAAAACTTATACTATACATATATACATATATATGTGTACATTTGATGGTTTGTACACTGGGCTTCTTTTACTTTGATCGAAATTTGTCCCGCGGTCATTCAAGGCAACAGTACTCACAAGTGGACACACCCTTCAGTCTTAGTGTGTGTCAGTGTGTGTGTGTGTACTCTACGTGTGTGTGGCCCCGTAGTGTTGCCACATGACTGTAATGGGTGGGTCCAGTACAGTGTGTGTGTGTGTGTGTGTGTGTTTTTCCTTTTCACAGAAATAAGGAAGTACTTCCAAGTAATATATTAAATAACTGGAAATGTTTTTTCCAATATTTACTGGAATTAAACTGAGGCCAATGGGTCTGAAATGAAGCTTAAATATTTATTTTTATAATAATAGTAATAATAATAAGAGTTCTTTCCTTTATAACTGAATTAAATACACCTACATTTCTTTCTCCCTGTAAGACGCAGAGCCGCTGAGGACAGAGTACACAGTACTATGTAGTACACACAGGTGTAATATAAGATCAGCTGTGGCTGAGGCAGAGCAGGGGTGAAGTGGGTCACTAGGTGTGCCAGGTGTGTCAGGGAGGAAGTTAGGAGATCAGGTCAACAATAGACACTGACACAGAGAACCTGAGAATGCAGTACTGTCGTTTCTCCTGCGGAGGCGGCGGTCACTGTACTGTATGAAGACAGAAGTCTTATTATTTATTATAATTAAAACTTTTTTTAAAGTTGCTTTGAAATCTTTTTGACTTACCACTAGAGGGAGTCCAAGTACCACCAGTGGTACATGTACCATAGTTTGTGAACCACTTAGAGAGTGCACATTAGCTCAAAGAGGTAGATTCAAACAAATGATCTAAACCAAATAACCCATCTGTGCGGACGATGATGACCTTTAACCTAAAATCACCAATTTTCTCACTGGACTTTGATGGGGAAAAAAGTGTGCAGTTTGAAACGCATTCCCCGTTTTACCACCTAATAAAACCTACAGTGATCCACTTATCCTTCCAAGGATACCAAACCAGCAGCTCTGCCTGTTAGCTACGACAAAACCAGCAGCTCTGCCTGTTAGCTACGGGCAAAAAAACAAAAAAAAAAAAATCTAAATTTTCTCCATCTACTTTAGGCGTTGTGTGTTGAGAAGACATTTGATGCAAGCTCCTGTCAAAAACAAACCTCAAGCAGGCTGTGAACAGCTGCACAGCCACTGAAGATGTGCTGGTTGCCATGCCAACACCTTATTATGCTGATATTTAGTTCTCCCTCTTGCCTCCTCGTGTGTTAACTGGTGTAAAACAGCCAAAAGACTCCAAAACTATTACAATTAATCGTCTGCAATTAGGCAAAATTTCATAATACCCCCAGTGATTACTTACATCTTGCCTTAGCGCACTTCTATCCCTATTAACAGCGGAGATCGGCATCTACCGGATTTATTTCTCCGTAATCCTGTTATCCCTCAAAGGCATTACATAAGCCAGACACACAAAAACGACATCATAATATGTGTGTGTGTGTGTACAGGGAAGGGTCTGGAGTGACATGTGTGTGTGGAGGTGAATTACCTTGAAGGAGCTGTGCACCAGGGTTTCGTCCAGGTCAATCACCACACAGTTTTTGCCATAATCTTCTATACTGACCTCGGGCAACAGGAACTTAGCTGGAGGCTGCAGGGAAAACACAAACAATGAACATGTGTCTGTACACACCGGAAACATATAAACATATAAATACACACATAGACTAAAAGAATGGGAGACTTAAATGGTAAAGATTCTGCTGAAATTTTCTAAGAAAAAAAAGAAAAAAAAAAGAAATGGCCTCATTTGCTTCTATTCTCTTCAATTAACCCTAGCTGTTCATCTGCCCTCTGTCTGTATTTTCCCCTGTTTTTGTATGCAAATAATCACTAAGTGGAAAAGGTGCCATTAGGGGGCGGTAGCACATCCAACATTTTAGTCTAGTCACAAACATTTCTGTGAATCTTTGTGATCAGATTGACCCGATGTTAAAAAAATTGTTTTGAAAGTTTCAATGATTTAATCCTGACACAGTCAGATGTGAGATAGCTTCAACCTCGGCTGATATGAACCAGCTCTGGTAGAGGCTGCATCTTAAATTTTAAACTCTCTAGTTTGGAAAAAAGTATGAATTTTTTATAGAAAAGTTTGAACTTATTTGCACAGTGAAAAGCTGCACCTCACCTCACCTACCCAAGCATTCAGACGTCATTTATTCAACCCCCTGCAGGCAGTGAGGGGGAGTTGAGCTTCATTATCTACTGAAACATTTTTGAATCACTCACCCTGAGTTAGTGTTAAATGATGAAAACAATGGCATCGTGGTCTTTTTAAAAAATGAAAATCTTCTTTTAAAGACAAAGTTGAATTCTTTTCCGAGACTTTTTTTTTTTTTTTTTGCCCGTGTCTAATATTTCGGGGTTGCCCATGTGTTATTGCCACCAGATCTGGGGCAGCAGGAGTCCTGAGGATCGAGGACTCCAGGTCTATAAAAAGACTCTCTCCCTCTTGCTGTCTCTTCCTATTTTTTTTTGCACGTCTCTATGTTTCTGCGGTGTGTTTATCATGTCCTATCTCGGCTCTGCATGCTTTGTGTCACAGGGAATACAGTTCCCTGTGAGCAAGGACAAAGAATGACATCCTGTGATAAATGTTGACGAACATACACGCAGGAAAGAGCGACATAAAGACTGCCTGCAACCCTGACCTTTTCC